GTGACAAAGAATCACCTCTGATCTTCACTTCAAAGACAAACCAAACAAAAAGACCTTCCCAGCTATACATTGGAGATTAATGTCAATCAGGATTTTTCCTCAACTTGTCTATACAAGCGTGTGTTTTATGATGATGGAAGCTTGTTGGGAAACTGTAAACCTTCTCAGAAAGATGGTAAAAACACCTACAGTGCGCGCGCATATGCGCACGCGCACACACACACACACACACACACACACACACACAATTTTTTTTTTCCTGATGTGTTATAAGGAATTTTAGTTAATGGAGTTTCCCCCCGACTTAATCCTTATTCCCTAAGACTAATTTTTAAAGAATTCCAACAAGTACCCACTGTAAAGATGTAAGAATTGTGTTTTCAAGCCCCAAAACCTATACTCCTAATGTTTTCTATAATGTCTGCAGAACTTTCCTTCCTCTCCAGAGCCCACATATAACTCTTCTCTCCCAGGAACATGCTCAGCTTCCAAAGCCTTTTGGTCTGATTATAGACTTTGCTCATGGCTCTGAATCCCACCTCATAAACAGAGTGTTTCTAGGACACACAAACCTGAGGAAGGCAGCCTTGCTCCTGGAATCTTCCCAGGCTGGTTCCCTACCCCATTTCTGTCTCCCACAGAGCCTGAAGTTGCCACGACTACATCACTTCCTGTGCAGTCTCATCCATGAGCTCTCTGAGGGTTAGGACCATGTTTTAATTATTGTTTCCACAGACACAAAACTCAGGGCCCAGTATACAGTCAGTGCTCACTAAGTGCCTGTCATCTGATTAAGTGCATGAAGGGATGTGCAGACCACACTTCACCCATGCGGCTGATCATGAGTCCTCAGAAGTCCAGGAAAGGAGATGGAGAACAATTGGAGGAGGGGGGCACGTAGCTGGAGCAAGGTGGACAGTTGCAGTTTCTGTTGTGAAAACTCCAAAAAAATCAGAAAATGTATATTTAATTAAAAGGGACCCATGAAGCACAGGTTAACAGCCAAACAGACCATAATATGATAGTCATTATGGGACAAAGGCTGGAGCTTCTGATCCAGGAATGGTGATATCATTTTCTTCGCAATCAAGACCCAGGATGGTCTCTAACTTTTTAAACTAGTCCCATTCAAATTTCTCAAATACTGAATACTCATGGCCTCTGTATTAGTTTTCTGTCATAACAAAATACCTGAGGCAAAGACCTTACAAAGAGAAAAGGCTTGGGGCTGGGGTTGTGGCTCAGTGGTAGAGCGCTCGCCTAGCACATGGGAGGCCCTGGGTTTGATCCTCAGCACCACATAAAAATAATAAATAAAATAAAGGTATTGTGTCCAACTACAACTAAAAAATATTTTTTTAAAAGAGAAAAGGCTATTAAAGCTCATGCTTTTGGATGTTCTAGGACATGATCCAGAGGCCCCATTCTTTGGGTCTCTAGTAAGGCAGCACATAGGGCATGGGCACATGACAGATCAAACCATTTGTTTCATGACCAGAAGACAAGGAAAGGAAGAAGAAGAAACTGGGGTCCTACAGTCCCCTTGGAGGGTATACCCCCAATGTACTAAGGATTTTTTACTAAGACTCACCTTCTAAAGGTTCCACCACCTCCCAATAGCACTACTAAAGGGGCAGGTCTTTCATACATGGACTTTGGGAGCCACTTATCTAAACCACAGTAGCCTCCATGATGGGTCTGTCCCAAAAGGAGCTTGATAAGACCTCTTGGATCAGATTATCCTAAGTCACCTACTTTGTTACAGAAAACTGATTAAAGGCATTATGAAACCCCTTAAAATTGCTTTTCAACATTTTCAATTCAACTTTGAATTTGATGATTCAATAAATCAACAAATATTTGTTTAGTATCAAATACATATTAGCTCCTGGGCTAGGTCTAAGGATACATCTGCATACCACTAAGTCTTAATACAAGTATCAGCTGGAAAGATGCAAAGTAAAAACATTTCACTTTTCCCACTCACCCTGATTCTACAGCCACTGCTATCAAGAGGACAGAAGAACCTGAGAAAGAGTGAAAGAATGATATTATTTCTAATTTTATCTAAGCATCAGTGTTATGGTTTGGATGTGAGGTGTGAGACAATGCAAGAAAGTTTAGAGGAGAAATGATTGGGTTATGACAGCCTTAACCCAATGAGTGGTCTGGCTATTGTTAAGGATGGTGGGATTAACTGGGTGGTAACTATAGGCAGTTACAGGGTGTGGCTGGTGGAAGTGGGTCATTGGGGGCATGCCTTTGGAGTACATATTTTGTGAGCTGAGCTGAGCTCTCTCTGCTTCCCTTCACCACACTTTTCCATCATGATATTCTGCCTCACCTCAAGCCCCCAAGAAATGGAGCCAGCCTTTTATGAACTAAGACCTCTGAAATCTTAAGCCCCCAAATAAACATTACCTCCTCTAAAATTATTTTTGTCAGATCTTTTAGTCACAGCAGAAAAACAAACTGACTGAAACAATCAGCATCTATGAAAATGGTGATTTCTCTGAGTTACTGAAATGAAGTGAGTTGACTTGAGGAATTCTATGAACAGAGGTTGCCTTAGTTCTTTACATAAATGTTATCCCAGGGCCAAAGTAATGAACATTAATAGCAGATGGCAATAAACTGCCCTCCCTGTTCAGTTCACTCTTCAAACTCACCAGGCAGAAATGTTCCTCCTTCTCTGGGAAGCAGGAAGGAAGGGAGCCGGCATGCTGTTCTGCTGGACACTTGCTCACTTGGAAAGTATATGACTGGGGAAGGAAGCACTGTCCACTGACCAGATCAATATTTTAGAGTGGTTGATTTTATTCCCTATGATCCTGACTTGGACTCTGTCTTTCAAAAACAAGTACAACCATAATGTCTGTCTCACCCAATTGCTGAAGTAATAGCTGAGCTCTCTCATGGTCATATAGGACAGTAACAGTTACCTGGGATGGTTCTGTGGTTTCGCTATGGTTTGTCCCCACCAAAACTCATGTGAAATTGGATTTCCAATTTAGTGGTCTTGGGAGGTAGGCTCTTTGAGAGATGATTAGTCATTGCGCTCAAGAATGTATTAATGTCTTTCTCTCTAGAGACTGAATTAGTTATCTCAAGAGTGGATTGTTATAAAGCAAGACTGGCACCTTCCCTCAGAAAGTTTAAGTCTTTTTTTCTTGTACATGTTCTCTTCTGCTTGTACCCCTTTCCCTGGTTCAATCCCTGGCAACACACACACACACACACACACACACACACAATGTGCATTGGGATTGATGGAAAGATCTCTGTATGATCAAGAGTCATTCTGAAATGCATTGCCACAATCTTCCCATGTAAATTCCCATGAAGACAGCAAGTTACTTTTTGTTATTGTTGTTTTAATGTGTGTGTGTGAGAGAGAGAGAGAGAGAGAGAGATGCTGGGGATTGAGCCCAGAGCCTTGCACATGCTCTGCTACTGAGCTACATTCCCAGCCCAGCCTCATTCAACTTAAGATTTAATAATGCATTTCAGATATTCTTGCTAATTTTACTGAAAATAAACAGTGTCTTCCCAAGAAAGCAAAAGAAATAGACCTCCATTTGTAAGGCAACCCTTCATTTCCTTCTTACAGTTTTGATTATCACTTGAAAGATTTGTCTTAATTCTCCTCTTGTTTAAATTTAGAAACTGAATTTTAAAGTGCAGCTGATCAATTACACATTCCAGATTTTAAAGTTTTAGCTTTATATTAACTCATCAGGGGAAAAAACTAGAAAATTCTCATTTCTTATGAAAATATAGGAATAGGGATACATAGCAGTCACAAAATAGGTCTAGGTCATTTGTGGTGCTCATTAGTCCTGCGATTCCTATGAAAAAAAGCTAAAAGCACTGCCTGTATTTTGCAGATGGAAAAAAAAAGTGACAGGTTCCATCTTGCTCTGGGAATAATAGCAAAGCCTCTGGTAGAGTCAGAAATAGAACCTCAAGGGATTTGTGTCCTTACTTGATGCAGAACATAACTCAACTTAAGCAGTCTCATTAAAATCGTGTTACAGAAGAAGCAGGTCTATCTCTTTCCTCAATTTTCTTTAATAGAATTAAGTAATTCACTTCAGCTCTACTCTCAATTGGATGTGTTATGCTAATAAAGCTACTGAACCAACCAAATATGATTTAGATAGTGGTCTTAAAGAATACATTGAATGCTAAGCAAAATGAATAACATGTAATCATTTTAAGAAATCTTTAAAAAAAAAAGGAATATATAAAATCCAATGTATTCAGGGCTGTGAGAGAGAAAGCTCTATCATTTAGGTTCAGTAGGTCAATATGCAACATCTAATATTGCTGCCTTAAAATAATTATGAATTTTAAAAGATTATAAATTCCATCCCACAATCATTTTTTTTACTGAGAAAAAGTATAATTTTAATTATCTTGTGAATCTACTTAGGAAAACACATACAAGCAATGTTCACAACTATAAATTTAAACCTTTTGCACTAAAAAAAAAAAAAAAAAACCACGAAACAACAAACACAGGCTTGAATTGTAAACCTGTATTAATTATCAAGTAGTCTTAAGGTTAACTCTTAGCAGTAATTCAGTATTTTCTTCCTTTGCAATTGTAATATTTTAGCACCAAATGATCTCCCACTAGTAACAACGCTGGTTGTCAGTGTAAGGAGATGTTTCACACACACACTCCTTGTACACACACCTTCCCCTCACACCAATAAGGAGATATGTGCAAGTGGCATCACATGCTGATCCAGAGCAATGGAAACGAGATGAAGGCATGGGGTCATACGTGCATTCCTAGAAAGGGCCAGCTTCTGCTCCCAGGTGTGTGCTTGTCCTCAAACTTTGCTGTCATTATTTAGAAGATGCAGATGTTATTGCCTAAATATTATTCTATACCTTTCCATCAGTGTTCAGGAAAACACTTTAAATTGCTACTCAATTTACACCATAATGACTGGGTTACAGCTTTAGCTCATTGGCAATTTTGGAAGCAACTATTTTTGAAAGTTATGGATGTCTCTGGTTTCAGCTTGAACCGGACCTCCTTCAAAGACATTCTCTTGGTCGCAGCTATTGGCGTCCATCACTTGGCGGATTTCCCTCATCGTGTCACTGGAATCCCTGGAACTAGTGGTTCTCATGCTCCAGGTGAAGCGCAGGGAGCGAAGTGTTGCTTCTTCGTTCTTGTCCTTTTGCTCAGCAGAGACATTGCGGCTTCTTGTGAGTTTTGAAGTTAATTTACAAAAGAGATTAGTGGCACCTCTGCTTCAAGTCTGGGACAGTGGCGTGGCTTGGTGGGACAGGCTGCGCTAGTCAGGAGGGCCGTTGTCTTTGGCAGTTTGCGATTCCTGGGGGCTGGCGGTGGGAAGTGCTGCCACCAGCAGTGCCTCTAGGGAAGAAGTCTAGGGAGGTGGCACTGCTGACACTGTGCGTTGAAGCAGCTGGAGTTCTCTGATCTGGAATGGTGCTCTTCTCCTTGCCATTCTGGATCACTAAATATCTGTGTGCTGTGGTTTACTCACTGCAAATGTGAATATTTTTCTGTATCATCCCCTCCAGATCCTGTGCTACTGCTGGAGACCTCAGGCTTTTCTTGTGTTCAGGAATGTCCATCTTGTTGGGAATACTTGCCTTCCCAAGCATGGGACTGGCTGGAGCAATTCCCTTTCCTGTAATCCAAGTGGCACTGCCTCCTGATTTCCAGGAGGGAATCCCATCTTCTTTGAGGGATCTGCAGTGCTAGTCCGACTCCTCTTCGGATATGCCACAACTGAAGGAATAGCTGGTCCAGCATAGTCACTGTACTCCCTGGGCTCCTGGATTGAAGAAATACTTCTTGGTACTTTGTGGTGAGGACACTGTTGCTGAGGTCACTGCTTGGCCGCACCTCTGAAGATTTGCTCCTCAGCAAGTATGTAGCTGTGATTTGATTCTGTTTCATTTTACTGAGAGATTCTTGAATTTCCTCTTGTGAATATCCCATTCCTACTATAACATCTAGTCTCTTCTGGTCTGAGATGTCTAGCTCTGGTTCAACAAAGGGTTTAAGTTCATCTTCCTCATGCCCTGTGTTGATCCACTTGTCCTTCATGATTTGCTTTAGAGTACCTAGAGTAATTGGATTTGGCATCAGGAAGCATTTGAGAAGGTTCTCAAAGTCTATGGACATGAAGAAAGGGATTCTGTATTTCTGTCATAACACTCTTTCTCTCCAAGTTCCTTCAGATTTTGCCTGCCAAAGGGAAGAGACCCACTGACCGGGGTGTATGGGAGAAGGCCTAGACGCCAAGCGTGGACTTCAAGCCCATCGTACTTCTTGCCCTGGAAGAGGTCTGGGGCTGCATATGGAGGACTACCACAAAACGTGTCTAGTTTACTGCCAAGAGTAAACTCATTGCTGAAACCCAAACCTGCTATTTTAATGTTCATATCCAGATCTAACAACAGATTTTCAGCCTTGAGTTTTGCCAGGTTTTATTCGTGACTAAAACACTTAGGGGTCACTCCAGGGGAACTGGGCTAACTGGGCTGTGTGAAATAACCACATAAGAGACAGAAATACCTTTTTCTTTGGGGTTGCTGTGACAGCTCCTATTACCTTAAGGGTCCGGGGGGGGGGGAGAATGTGCTGACCCCTTTTATTGAGAAGCTATTCAAATGTGGCAAGGGGTCAGGTTTCAGGGGACTGAGTCTAGCTTCATGATGTCTGCTGTCAGTAGGTTGACTAACATCTAGGTAGGCCACACCCAAGGGCACAGTAAGAGAAGGGGACATGCAAAAGGCACTTTCATAGAACATTCTATCCCAAACAGGGCAAGGGGTAATATTACAAAGGAATAGGTAAGCATAGCTCCACCCATGGGGCTGTAGGAAGGCATGCCCAAGCACGAAGATACCATCCCTAAACCCAAGAAGGGTGGGGCAGTCTAGCAGCATCTGCTGCCTGATGCCTCAATCACCCAGCTGGGGAGTGACTCAGTCACATGCAAGGTTGGTATCCCACAGAGTTCCCTGTGATCAATCAGCTTTTAGTGGCAATACTGTACTGCGGACATGGTCTGTCTAAATTTAGCTCTTGCTTCTTTTCCCACCATTCATCCACGTGGAACCAAATAGTGAAATACGTCCCATCCACTTGTGTATTCCATGATTAAGTAGAGTGGTTTTTTAGTTTCAATGACTTCAAGCAACTTCATTATGTTTGGATGATTAAAAATCTTCATACTCTTAATTCTCTGAAGACCTTTTGAAGACTTGTTGGATTCAACTGAGTTTTGTCAATTTTTTTTTTATACCAGGGATTGAACTCAGGGGTACTCAACCACTGAGCCACATCCCCAGCCCTAATTTGTATTTTATTTAGAGACACTAAGTTGCTTAGTGCCTTGCTTTTGCTAAGGCTGGCTTTGAACCTGTGATCCTCCTGCCTCAGCATTCCAAGCTACTGGGATTACAGGTGTGCACCACTGGGCCACAACTGTTAATTATTTTTGTTGCAATCTCTCTGCCTGTAAGGATGTGTCATGTCAATATCATTTTTGCAAAGTTCCCCTTGCTGATGGTTTTCAACAGTCTGTAGTTTCAGATGTGAGGCTGCTCATCTGCACAGGAAGCTATGGAGTTTCTATACCTCCAGAGTACCCAGTGTGGGAGGTGACTTCTAGTCACCCATCTCCATGTGAGGTGTGCATGCTATGTGCAAGGTTCTTTATCATTGAGTATCTTCAATGTCTTTTGATGATTTAACAGAAGAAAAATAAACACATAAATCTACTCAATCAGCAAAGCTAATAAATGTCTGTGGGTACCATTGGCAGGATTAGGACACATAAAGGGAAGGGGAAACAAGGAAAGAGTTGGAGATGAAAGATTGTTAAATAAAAAAAAAAAAAAAAAAAAAGCTTCATGTGCCTTCCAAAACAAAAGATGTTTGCCCAGGTAAAAATTATTCTTCTGGGTAAGTCTAAGAGCAGAAGGCAAATGAGAAGTGGTACTAGGTCTACTTATTTTCAAGATTCTCATTCTATAATCTGCTATGCAATCAATGTAATCAGAAAGGTACTGACTGCATAAAGAATGGGTATATACAACACTGGGATCAAAACTTCTGGGTTCAGCTTACACAGACTTCAAGTTCTATCAGTACAGATTTTCATGTCAAATGTCCATAACACAAACCCCACAATATTTAGACTCTACTAAAAAGCAACTGCCTAGCTATTAACAAGAAATACAAAACATCTCCTGCTTTGTTTGAGCTTCAACTTTGAACATCAAGATTCCACATAACCCACAGAAACAATGCCTTAACTAATCTACATAAGATTATATAAGACTGGTCATAGTTTAAGTGGCTAGAAAGCAGTGCTAAAGAACCTCAGGTTGAAGAAAAAATTGGGTTCTGTTAGTTAGCTGTCGCTCAAATGAAATGCCTGAAATAATTAACTTGTAAGAGTAAAGGTTTGTTTAGCTCACAGTCCTGGATATTCCAGTTCAGACAGAGGAGGAGATTCCAGTTCAGACAGAGGAGGAGGAGGAGGAGGAGGAGGAAGGAGAAGAAGAGCCCACAGTCACTTTTAAAGAAAAGCACCTTCGGGGCTGGGGCTACAGCTCAGTGGCAGAGCATTTGCCTAGCTTGCTTGAGGCACTGGTTCTATCCTCAGCACCACATAAAAATAAACAAATAAAATAAAATAATATAGTTGTCCATCTACAACTATAATTTTAAAATAAAAAGGAAAAACACCTTCAAAATTACAGAAATTGAGATTCCATGCTGCCATTATTATCCACCATCTTACCATTGCAGATTTTCTAAATATGTGTGTTTTTGCACACAAGTGTGCAAATGTTCAGAGAAGAACTGGAATCTCTAGTGCTATATTCATTGGATGTGCTTAGAATGCCTGATAGGCTCACCAGTCACCTATCCTATTAGACTGGGGAATCAAATGTTTTCACAAAATATTAGCAATATATGGGTCCTTGTGGAGTGTGGTGACTGAGATTGGGGGGTCCCTGACTGCTTCATAGCTGTGGCATACCTGCTACCTGGGAATGTATCTAGACAAGGGTACAGGATGCCCAGTTGTTATGGTGACACCCCCAACCCTCCCAACCTCCACCCCCACCAAGGTTCTGTGCAAGAGTCTTATCAGTCTCTACCTTGATCTCAGGCACATAGCTCTGGGGAGAGAGGAATTCTAAGCTTGACAAGACAACTACAATGTTTCATCAACGCTCCTACTTTGTAGCCTGCCCACTTAACAGTAACTTTAGACAATGGGCATTCTGGAGTGCTGCAGGAATCTCTAAGCATTGCAGCAGTGAAATAGCTACAAGAATGTTTCTAGCCTTGTAACTTTCTAGTGCACAAAGAACAATGCTTCTATAGTCCTGTACTTCTTGATTATGAAACATTATATAAATAAACTTGCTGGGTCAACTCTTTAGAAACTGCTTCTTCATCAGAGAGCAGTGCTCTACCTGATCCCAGCCTTTGGTCTTAGTATCTGTGTGTGTATTTCTTAATTTCCTAATGCCCCTTGCTGGTTTCTCAGGTTCAGCTATACAGGGCGTGGCAGGTACTCAGGTGGAAATTGAGGAATTTAATCTTAGCTACTGGATAGGGAGTTAGAGGATTGAATTAAAAAAAACTATATAGAGCAGTTAAAGGAGTCCAGAGAATGTAAAAATTGAGCAGTGAAAATTGGCTACTTTTATGTAATATACCAACACAAACACATGCTGGTCTGGCAAACATAACTTTTTATTAACATGCATGTATACAACACATTATTAATGAGCATCATTTATGGGCTTGTGTATGTGTTGGGATAAGTACTGGAGATTTAACACAGGGCATTCTACCACTGAAATGCATCTTCAGTCCTTTATAAGTTGGCCAGGCTGACCTCCATCTTGCAATTCTATTACTTCATTCTCCTGAGTATCTGATCTATGGGCATTTAATATGGTCTAAATGTCTACCATGATCTGATAGCCTCCAACATCTCTAGCCACATCCCACCTGTAGCCCGGTTTATGTTATGACATCCTGCGTCTTTTTTCTACTTAATCTCTTGGCTGTTTTTGCTGAAGTCATGGCAGACATCCTGCTCTTCTAGGAATGAACAGAGCTCCATCCTGGAGCATACATTCTGTACACACTCTTGCCTTTGCCTGGAACTAGATCCCAAGCTCCTCTTCTTTGCCTCAGATACACTTTTTTTTTTTTTGTACTAGGGATTGAACTCAGAAGCATTCTACTACTGAATGCTCAGCCCTTTTCATTTTTTAAAGCAGCCCCCCACCCACCCAAGTTGCAGAGGCTGGACTTGACCTTGTGATCCTCCTGCCTTAGCCTCCCACGTCTCTGGGTGTGCATCACTGTGCCATGCTCTCATAAAGGCATCTTCAATGTTCTGCTTCTTCATCTCTTCCAGCCTTACACAGGAACCCTGATATCTCCATTTTAGCTCTTGTCAAGTGGCAATTTTACATTTTAAGTGAGTCTTACATTCATGTTTGTCTACTAGATTGAAAGTTCCACAAGAATGAAGTCTATGCTTTGGATTTTTGTCTACTTACTCCCAGGTCTATTTACAGTGATTTGGCATGTGGTAGGTTTTCAGTACATATTGATTCTATAAAATAACAAAAACATCCCAACATAAGGCTGGTGCTCCTGAAGAATGGGCATTTCTCTCTTTCACTTTATTTCACAATCATGGTTCCCCTTATCTCTGGCTTTACTCAACTATACTATGAAGAGACATACATATTTTACTAGGTAAAATTAGCTTGCAGAAAATATGAATTTAATTGTCAGGAAATGGGAGAAGGAGGAAAAGAAAAGTCAATTAAGTAAGCATACTGAGAAATTGGGTAGTCAGGGTTTTACACAAACATGTATACAGAATTTCTGGAGTATTACTTTCATAGTTGAGAACAGTGTTGCTGCACTTTCATTGGCCACAATGCCATGTAAACATGTGCATGGTGTTTAAAGATGTATCTATAAAGAATGTGAAACTGTGTAAAGAAACATTAATAAAAGATGTTCTTAGTGTGCTACTTGAAGAGAGGGAGGAGAAAAGGGAGGAATTGGAAGAGAAATAATAATGAGGTGGTGAGTCGACATCAGCAAGGTACAACATGAATAGTAGTTAAACTCATGTCACAAACCAGACAAAGAACAGAAGACAGAAAGAGGAAATCAATGAAGAGACAGGAGACAAAAAATAATGGCCAAGGATGGGCTGAGATAGGTGGGAGCAGAGACCACAGGAGTGGGGTGGAGCATTCGTGGGGTAGGGTCCCTCCAGCTGCCAAAACAGTGGGAAGAACTAAGCAGGCCCATTTCAAGGCTGGGAACCGAGAAGCTGAAGAATTTGAAGACCTCAACTCCTCCCCATGACTGCCTTCTTTAGAGGTATCCTCTTACTACTGACTCAGTCTAAGGGAGGCCTTTTATTTCGTCCATTTAAGAATTAGGAAGCTGCAGGGTATGTAGAAGCACTCACTGAACTTAATTGATCGTATAAGTGAATAAAAATATAGCAAAGAACTAGCAGCTCAGGATTCTAGAAGCTGTGAGACCGTAGCCTAGACTCCGAGGTGGGGAGAGAGTAACTGAGCAGGCCAGGAAGGCTCAGTGACTGGAGACACCCCGATTCATCAGTGCCAAGGACTGGTGAGCAGCCTGATAAATCCGGTTCTTTGGGCTGGGACGCTGGAAGTTTCAAGAAGGATTCTTGGAGCAAGGTGCACTTCTTCTAGAGCTACTAAGTGCCAGAAAGATCCCGGCGGGCACAAGACTTTCTGCAGCCAAGGTCCTGGCCCGTCCCGCCCCGCCCCTGTCCCGAGACCTCCCGAGATTGGTTGCCCGGCCAGAGGCCCCTCCCACGTAGCACGCCCTTCCAAAGTCCTTCCAGGGATTGGTTGCCGGTCCTCAGCCCCCAGTCCCAGGTCAGTGCTCCACCGAGCTCCGCGCCTTGAGTGGATCGCGGGTCTCTTTTTTCACTCGCCGAACTGACGGAGTCTTCGGCCTCCGGCTGCGATGTGCCCTGTCGGCCCCGGGCCTGGGTATGGCTGGGCTCGCCACACGTCCCCTCGACCTTTGCTCCAGCTGTCAGGATGGAGGGAAGAGCAACTCCCGGCGGCCCGGGGGGCGGGTGGCCCTGGCATTCCCGGGGCCGCGCGAGACACCGGCTCTGCGCCCAGTCTCACGGAAGGTCCCTTGGGAGAATCTGACGCAGTAACAAGTTTGCGCTTTGCTTCCTCAAGCGGATCCGCCGCAAGCACCCGACCTGGGATGACTTGGGCCCCTGGAGTTTGTTTCTAACGTCTGCGGAGGTCAACAACCTCAATTCTAAGCGCAGGTATGTCCCTGTCCTTGGGCGAAATGAATTGACCCAGATTGCCAGCTCTTGGACAAAGGCGACAGAGTATTCTCCGGAGTTTGGTGCAGTGGTGCTAATCAGACACGCCCTAAAAATAAATAAAGAAAGAACCAGAAAGCTCCCGAATAGCCTTTTCCTGTGTACTTTAACGGTTGACGCAGCAGATAGGTTAAAACCTAGAGAGGAGATTGCAGAACTCCTCTTTGGATCCTGGCCGGTGTCACAGCT